AAAAGGACAAAAAAAAAAAAAAAAAAAAAAAAAAAAAGGGGGGGGGGGAGAGTGGAGACTTAATGTGACCTGTGAGGCAAATGCGATTACCTAAGTTCCTGGGTATGTACACATTACAGTTCGGTGGTAGCTGGCCCAACATGTGAAAAGCAAAAATAATACTGCAGAGCCCCCCAAACTCACCCACAAAGTAAAGACCCAGCAGACAAGTCTGAATATACTTTAAATATAATGCCTGGGTCCGGCTGTATACTCTTCTTTTTAGTTCATGCATGGTGTGTGTGTGTGTGTGTGTGTGTGTGTGTGTAGGGGCCAGAGGACAATTACAGCTGTCAGATATCCTTTCGTGGACTCCAAGGGTCAACACTTAGTAGGGTGCTTGCCTTGTATGTACAAAACCCTGGGTTCAGTTTCCAGTAGTGTGTGAAACTGGGCACGATGACACATGCCTGTAATTCCAGCATTTCAGCAGAATGCCACTAGAGTGGGTTTTCAGGCCAGCCTGAGGTATGAGACTGTCTCCAGAGGGGTTATGAGTGCAAAGCCAGAAACCTCACAACCACTTTAATTTGCACCTATACCAACACAGCCATTCAAGAGCACCCACACACCCATAGCCAACTGACACTTTCGGGGAGGGGAGCAGTAGAGGAGATCTCACTACAGCGCAACTGGCTTTATACTCAAAATCTTCTTGCCACAGCCAGAAACCAGCAACACAGTCATGCACCACCATGCCCAGCTTACCAACTGGCTTTGACAAGAGTGCCAACACTGTTCAGTTGGTTAAAGTAGTTTTTTCAATAAGACACCTAGCTGAACACAGAATGCCAAGTGATACCAAACCAGATGCCTTTAATCCCAGCACTGTTCAGTTGGTTAAACTGGTCTTTGCAACAGAAGACACCTAACTGAACATAGAATGCAAAGTGATACCAAACCAGATGCCTTTAATCCCAACACTTGGGCAACAGAGGCAGGAGGATCTCTTGAGTTCCAAGCCAGCCAGGGTTACATATCCGAGACCCTGTCTCAATAGACAATGGATTCAGAGAATGAAAAGTGACAACACACGGCAACAACTTTTGGTACAGGCTATAATAAGGCTGTCCAGTTATTGGTCTGCTACGTGGTGGTAAACAGACTAATTCAAACCTGGGTGTCATGCTTCCCTTTCTGAACTGTAAGAATCCACAGCTGCTCCCAACCAAAAGCCCCACAGACCACCACCAAGTTCCTTTTTACCTGCAGAGAAATATCATTGATCTGTACATCGTCGGTGCTCCATTTCCCAAAGAGCTTGATGTCAGGGGTCTCTGCCACCGCAGTTGTGGCTGTCTCCCACTCAGTCATTCTGGGGACGGGACATCGAGAAGAAACTGTTACTGCCGTCCGCCCTAGAACAATCACATCGACCCCAAACTCTTCAGGCTAAGTAACCCCCATCTGGTGGAAACCTGGGCAGTTAAATGGGGACCCAGCAACTTTGAACATGTCTCCAACAAACCTAGGGAAAAAAAAATCACCAAGCTAAGCAGCTGGTACACGGCACCCAGTAGGATGGCTCCCGAGTCCACGCAGAC